ACCCCTTAATTGTTTACATGCTGCTAGCCTGAATTCCCTCCCACCTGCACTATTTAAGAATGTAGGTGAAATCCTTTGCAAAGTACTGACCTCCCCATTCGAACAGGTTTGGAAGGAGAAGAATGTTCCGGTTAACTGGAGTTAATCAATTATAGTGGCAATGTACAAGAACGGCAGTCGCACTGACTGTGCTAATCACAGGGTATTAGCGCAACGCCAATTGTGACAAAACTACTGGCCTTCATTATCGTTTTTCGCCTCACTGGGTAACGGGAATCCGGGATTAAGGAAGAGCAGGCAGGCTCCCGCTCAGAACGGGGCTGTATAGACCATATATTCACTCTGCGGAAGATTGTAGAGCAGCGGCACGCATACAGCAGACCGACAATAGCTGTGTTTCTAGACTTCCAGAGTACGTGCGATTTAGTCGATCGATTCATTCTGTACGAAATACTTGCGCGGAAAGATGTTCCGATGAAATCTGTGAACATTTTACGTGCACCGTGCTCGAACACTACAGGCTGCGTCAAGGTTTGAATTGTTCTGTTGGATAGGTTTCCTACAACGAATGGCATTCATCAGTTGTCCGATTCCCCGAATTTGTTCAACTTCCTCGTGGACTCCATCATGGAGTGCTCCGTTGTGGAATCTCACGATGTAGGTGTTAAGGTGCTGTCTGGTGATGTGCTAGCTACTCTTGATAATGCGGACGATATTGTCTTGCTATTTAATGATGCTAGAGTGGTCCCCTGTATAACCCCCCTAGAGTGATCCCATCAGTTGGCATCTGCTTCGCACCTTCAAAGTGCAAAGTGTTGCTGCAGGACAACCAGCCAGTTGGTGACTCCTTGAAGCTTGATAGCCAAGTCCTCCAGGTAGTTGAGCAGTTCGCCAACTTTAGTAGCTGCATCAGCGATGATGGGCGCATAAGCACTGAAGTCAGTTCACGTATTGTAAAGGCTATAATTGTTTTCTTGTATCTGCGTAATCTGTGGTGTAACAACCGTTTCCGTTTGATCTGAAAGGCATGTTTACAAGGCTACAATGAGGGCCGTCCTACACTATGGGAGTAACACTTGGCCTCTTCGATCTGAGGATCTGATGCGCCTTTCAAGTCTTTGACCATCGTTGTCTACGAAGCATTGCTGGTGTCCGGTGACAGAATCGTGTCTGCAACGATGATGTGAGTAGGCAGTTGCTAGGCAACGATACCCAAGCTAGTTTCTTGGAACAACGGATAGCACTTAATAAGTTGCGTTGGCCTGCGCACGCATGCCCGGCCACCGCTTACCTAAGAGGGCGCTATTTTCTCTGCCAGATGTAGGGTGGCGCAAGGATCGAGGTGGACAAAAGTTGACTTGGCATCGAGAAATTAAATCACCGAAGACTAAACTCGGTGCCATCGACTTCCAGGCCGGAGTCCACTTAACCCACCTTGTGATGGGCTTGAGACGTTACAAGATATGGTTCGCAGTCAGCACCAGTGGCACGTCTGCTGTCGTCTATAGCATTTCCCGCAAAGTTGCGTAAAAATTCCAAAATTTGGCAAAGAAAACGCAAAATTTTGCAAAGGTGCAGATTGTTGCAAAGAAAATGCAAAATTTCGCAAAACCCTTTGCGATTCGCCAGGCGCACTGAGCCAATCCTCTGACCTTAAGTGTATTCTGATTGGCCGGGTGCTAGGGTTTGATGCTTAAGTCAAGTGAAATGAGCGCGCTGCCCATTGATTAAGTGAGACTTGTGAATGAACCTCGAGTCTATGGACATGGGCGGTGCCACGAGCTACTATGCGCCCCCCCCCATCACCTCCGCAACGTTGGATCACAATTGGCCTGCGAGCAATGAACGGCCGGAACATAAGGGTACCACTGAATAGATGTCTTTCATTCGGATTGTCTCTTTAAGTGTGTTTGGTGCTGAGTTATCGGTGGAGCAATGGCTGATCGTGATGCGGGGCAGTGAAATTCGCACGGAAGCTGTCTCGCCGAGGCCACCTAATCTTTTCAAGATAGTATGCTCTTTCTAACCGTGTGTCGTTGGCAAGGTGTAGGCGCCTTGACCGGGAATGTTTGCTTAATGCATTAAGCTTTTCTGGTAAGTCCCCCTTATCTCTCGAGTATTATTCTTCATTCTGCAGGTCGTTATGGTTGTACGGCGAGATCAGTAACACTGGCTGATGTGCTGCTGTTGATGACTGATGACGATGCTGTTTCGCTAGCATACCTATGCATATCCAAGGTAATTGTTAACCGCATTCGATGCCTGCATGTCATTTGATGAATTTGGTGGACATCAGCGTTTTTGCCAGTAGTTACAGGTGTTTGTTAGTTGTACAGATTACTAATTATACACGAAATGCTTCATACAAAACTTAATCGATTATTAAACTTCACGATAGCCCTCATGTAGCAATGGTCTAAGTAAGCGCTTATTACCTGAGATATCCTTCCTTAACCAATAAAGGTTCTTGCCAAACAATCCATCAGTATGTAGCCAACACTGACAACTAAGGACCATTCGAGTGACAAAGCTCAATTCTTCCCCTTGGTTAAGTCTCATAATTCGAATATTCTTAGCCTAACTGGACCGGTCATCGTTGTAAACGCAAGTTCCTCTAAGTGGATTCGCTTAGCATCCAGATCGACAGAGAAACCGCGACGTTCAACCTACTTGCAATAATGCTGGGTAAGGTCATTTCTGAGGGTACACGCAACTACATTGTTGTGCAACCTTTTGCGCATCCCAATATCAGTACAGGGGTATTGCGGGCTATAACTTAAGGGTAAAACCCACAATTGTTTTTGAAGAATGCACATGGACCGTTGAGTCAATCGTAGTGGTACTATGTGTATTTCTTGAGAAACATTTCTCCCCAGCCTATGACACGCATCCTCCTATCCCACATTAAAGGAAGTGAAATATCATCTCACGTGCAGTGCGTAGGGACATGTTTGCAGCAGTGCTTCTGTGAGCGTACCAGCCGCACACCTGTGCACTACTCATGCTTTTCAGAACTACTCCGTCGTATTTTGTGGCACACTACTGGATTTACAGTTATTCATCTAGAGTTAACGAGAACCATCGCTTTTGAACTTATTCTCTCGGAATAACTGCCAATGCAACCCACTTTTATCTTAAATTGTGAATTCCGCGCACCTTTCCAATGATATCTAGGGGGTGTTTCACCCATCGAACCCAAGCTTTGACCGTACTCGATAGAGCATTCTCATGGCATTTGAACATGCTTTCAAATCCAATATTGTATGGAGCACCTACGTTTCCCTGAAAGGAATCCCACTCATTGTCTTTGCAAGTCCACCCTGGTGTGATCCATAGGTTCGGCCGCAAAACTGGCAAACGGCCGTTTGATCAGCCTAACGGGCACACGGATGCGTTCGACCGACCAGCCAGAGGAGTGCACATAAATTATATCATGAAAAGTGAAGCGTGTGATCCTGCGTGTTCTACCTGCTTCAGTAGCTTAGATTGAAGTCTTTAGGAATGGACAGCTTTTCATTTTAACAGTGTGTTTTCTTTGCTACTTTTCTCCATTACAACGGCATTAGTTAGGCATTGCTTTCTTGCTTATAATACACTACTGTGTCCTTGTCCCATTGTACATCAGTAGACAACCAAAGTATTATGATAGAGTAACGGAATTCTCGGAAAGTGACGCTCACCAGTATCACTAACTAGATCTGTGTAATCGCACCGAATTCTCTTTTGTAGCGCGACACTGTTGTTAAGTTGCGCAGTAACACTTTGAATTGCGGAATCCGCCAAGCCATGACAAGTGCTGCGCTAGTGCATCATCCAACGGTGACCTTGATCACATGGAACACAATAGTTAGTAACCAAGGGATTTGTAGTTCAGAACTTAAGCAGTACACCAATAATCTATAATAATGCTAAGCTGCTATGAAGCCGTAAGTGGTTGTAGGCAGGTTGGCATGCTACAATGTGTCTAACCCGGACAGGAACGCAAGCCAAGGGCGCGGAGACTTGGAGCCTAACGCATGAGTTACATGCAACTTAGTGAGTTTCGTATTTATCGGCTACCAGACAATGTGTTCATGACTGGCTTTCATCACCTTGGCAATAATCTCTGTCCAAATTTCCAGAAAACTTATTAGTAGCAACGCAAATGATCTGAACAGGGTCTATGAGGCTAGAAAGCGTGCGATGAATCCGGGCCATTCTGATGGCACTACGGTTCCCGGGTCATTTTAATCGTTAACTTCTGCAGAAAGACGATGAATGCAACACGAACATCGCCATGCATATGTTGACAAGTTACTCATCTTGTTCGCCTCATTTGTTTATAACACATGAGGTTATCGAGCTCGATTGCTAAAAGATAAGCCCAAGGAAATGTACTCCCTTTTACTCCAAGTTCAAGTCAATCCTACGAACGAGAATAATTTGCGTTAAAAAAGGACTAGCATCCTCACTACAGGAAGTCGAAAATGGGAGCAGCTGGTACAATCACAGCAACTGCGAATTAAAACTTCGAAACTTGATTTTATGTAAGCTTAAATAACTCGAAACCGATCAGCCCGCTCCACTGATTTATTTTCACAATTAATGAAACCGTTGGAAGTGGAAATAGCACAAGAACAACAGAAACGTAGTACCACAAATGCAACTGAAAACTATCTGTGATAGGTCATAAAATCGGGATCGCTTGGAGTTTTGCTGCTGCGACAGAGAGAGAGAGAGTTAGCATCGCATTCCATGTTGGCCTGTCACACTGAGCCCTACCTAGATAAATGTGAAGGCTAAAAAGTTCACCGACTAAGCAGACACGATCTCCCGTGTGGACTGCGTAGAATCGTCGATCCATTCGAAGCGATGGTAGAACGAGTATTCCTAGTTAACGTAGCTGTAGGAAAGGCTGTGAGCTGTGTGACGGGCTTGTCAGAATGTGGCCTGCTATTACGCATAAACAAACGTTGCTGGAATCCATCGAGACAAAAACGGAGGGAAGTAATGGCACTCACTTTCCTTCTTGGACAACAGTTAGCACAATGGTGTACAGCATATTGGATATTAGTGCTACGCGCACCCACTGTGGTCCAGACAGTGAACTGAAAACATAAACGGAAAAAGGAATATAGTCACTGATCGCCTAGCTCGTAGTAGTAATGTTCAGGGATTTCCGGTAGGCTAATTGTTTTTTAGTGCTCATTCAATCACACCAAGCAGGCAGAGCTGAGCTTTAGAGATAACTCAAACTCAGCATACTATTTACGACTGTGTCATCAGATCTAAGCTTCGGTATCTTCCACTGCCTAATAATTCCCACTGAACCTTTTTGGCTGCATTAGTGGAAGCCTGATCCATTTAGGCACCATGAAGAACGTAGATAACAATTAATCAGGAGGTTTAGGTAGACTCTGTGAGGTTAATAAAACTGCAAAACAACGGCGACAAGTCGAAATTTCTAACGGACACTTCAGTGTTTTGGTAAGTCTGTTCTACTGAGGAAGACATGGACATTGCGCGATGGTCAGCCCTTCCACCGAAATGCCATGCAATTCCTACTTAAAAATGATAATTTTTATTTACATACCTTCTAAGTTTATCTGCTTAGACCAGTGGTTCTCAAGTTTTCAATAATGGTTGCCCACAAGGCGGGGCAGCTATAAACACTTACCTAAAAAATAATAGTTTAAAAAGTAAGCAACTAGTAATTATGGAATTTCGTGACCGAAAATGAATGCCACTATTACTTACTTTAAAGCATTTAAAAATGGAAACACCTATTTTTGGGAAATTTTTATTAAATGCACAGGTGATGTACATGAATGAGACGGTTGCTATTGCTCATTTCTGACAATTTCGGCTATATTTATTGCGATTGCGACTAATGCACATAGTATGTCGTCCTCCACGTTCATTCGGTTCCTTGAATTGATGTGTGATCCCTGATCAAGTTTGAACAGATGTCCTCGGCTTCTGATTGGTTGCAACCATTACTTCCAAGTTCGTTCTGGATGACAGCCACCAATCATCACTCTCTATCAATACGTCCTGAACACTAATCGTCCTCTTTGTCCCTTCTAGCTCGTAAACCTTCGCTCGCTGCTTTACTTAGTCAGTTGACCTATGCCTACACCTTAGCCTTAACCCAACTCTGTAATTAGACCCTGCGAACGACTTCCTGACTCGAACAACGATCGACGAGCAAGCCGGTAGAGGAGCCATCTAGCTGCACTGCTCTGCAGGTTTGTATTTGTATTTTAGATAATGAAATTTATTACTGAAAGTTGCATAATTCACTGACCAGCCACAAACGATTAGTCAGCGATGGCTAATCAACAGTGATTAGGTAGGTAGTTAAATGCTTTGACATATAGGATATTGTTATTAATTTTGTTTGGGGACAGATTGGTAACCTACTACCTGTACTTATATTTACCCCGTAAAACTCCATTTCAACCCCTTAGGGGTAATTACCCCCAGGCTTAGAGTAAGGGGCTTTACATTATCTTTATTTTTGAAACATCTAACCTTATATGCAATACCAGATTCGACAGTCCCTACCTTTGTAATCTACTTCCTCTTATAGTTTCCAACTCTTTCACTAAGAGGACAATCCTTAGCTATTTTATAAGTATCAACTCTGACGGTAGTAAGCTACTACGGCTCCAACAAGCTTGGGTCACACTCGACAAACGAACGGTCAGTTATCTACTATTCCGCGGACAACACAAAGAACAAATGAAACACAAAAATAAATCCGTGACAGTACCCCTACAAGTGTCGATCCTAATGCACCAGTAGATAAGTAGTTCCCTGGAAGTGCAGCCATCTGAATTGAAACGAACACTGGTCCAGTTTGGACTTTCAGAGAACAATCATTTTTATTCAGATTACAACGGTAGTTCTTCTACCTAACGGAACAACAATCACTCTAGCTCAAGCTGCTCTCAACTAAATTGCTTTGGCCTCCATACAGCTACCTCCCGCTACGCTGCAATAATAGACCACACCGCAAGCAGAGTATATACCAGAATATAACTGACACAGAACTGCAACCTTGCAACATGTTCGCGAATTATCAATCATGATTGATACAGTGCATTTTGTGTGTCCGCCTGTCCATGTTAAATGACGCATGATTCACCAAACTAAGAACATGCGTACTTTTTCCATTTACTTGAATAACGGAAAAATTTGCGATCCCTTTTTAGAGTTGATCGGACCAACAACCTGGGTCGTGTCTTACAGTCAAGAAATAAATAATTTATGTAGTAGAAATGGTCGATTAGATTCATATGAAAAATTAAGATAATTTCTTGAAACAAAAGTCCGAGGCATAGAAACGACCAATCAGACAGAAAACCGCTTCGCTTTTCAACATTACTAACAAATTAAATTTGGCCAATATAAAAATAGCATTACTGAGTGGTTGGAGGGTCCGTCTGAAGTACTAGTGTGATTGGATCGTGATGCGCAATCTCAATATGAACCGTCGCGCAAAATGAGGCGAACCTTGGCCAATGCCATCACCAAGACTGTAGCCGAAGCAGATGGAAATTGGGTGTTGCCCGCTAGCAAACTCTACACAACCACGACGGGTTTCGAGCTGCTGTGATCACATTAAATGAATACAGCAGGCCTCGGACCCCCTACCGTGGGAATAATTGCAGAAAACTCTAATCCTTTGGCTACCGGGTCACGACGGACAATGTTTAGCACAATGGTTAATGACTAATTAGAGGGTCATTGAGATTCTGCGTCGCAATCCAATCACGCAATGTGTACTCCAGAATGGCTCTCCAATCAGACATTAACCGTTGTGCTAAGCGTTTTCCGTCGTGATCTGGTAGATTTTCCCGCTACTATTAGAATGGTAGTGGGTTCGAGGCCTGCTGTCTTCACTTGATGTGATCGAACCAGATCGAAACACGTCGTGGTTGTGTAGTGTTTTCCAGCTGGCAACACCCAATTTCTATCTGCTTTGGCTATGTTCCTAGTGATCGCATTGACCAAGGTTCACTTCAGTGTGAATCGCAGTCCAATTTGAGACTGTGCGTCGCAATCCATCCAATCAAAAAGGACCCTCAAAATCCATCATTAAGCATTGTGCCAAGCTTTGACCGTCGTGACTCGGTGGTTCAGGGGCAGCGGTCATAACTAACATTCCAATGGTCCCAGGTTCGATGCTTGCTAACATGGCTCTAACATTACTGTGTTTTCAATGTGCCCGAGATCTCATATACCAATTTACAATTAAAGTAAGGTTACAAGCATATTTCAGATTTGCTGGTGAATAATCGGCACACTGTTTCATGCAGTGTTGGTTCACCGCAGTTCAAAACACTCAGAATAAAGACAAACTGATGGAATCTGATCGCATATATCTGCAAAGACCCCATCTTGTGTCTGCACCATGAATGTCAAAAGAAGTGATAGCATGCAGTCCCAAATCTGACGTAGTGACGCGGGAAGCACACACAATCCATGGAATCGCCACCTGCATTATAGTGTATCCTGATAGCGTATATCACCGAGCAGCGACAACGACTGTCTTTGTTTCCAAATTCATCAAATATAGGAGTTGTCAGTTAGGCCCAAACCGATGATTCCACTGGAATGTCTCATGCGTATAACTAATGTCAAGTCCCCAGTAAGAAGACCTTTAACTTGTCAAGATGCCACTTAGCAGATCAACGACTGACAGTTAGAGCCATATTCCGACGCGAGCAACGAACGGATGAAAATAATACTCTTATTCACTGATAAATAGAGCAATGTAATGGGAGTAGGCTGCAAAGAATCTCCAACTTCAAAATCATGGAAAACATACAGGGCTACTTGGGAAAAATACTACAGCCGCCGAAAAGCTCGTCACTTCCCCATGTTCATCGAAGCCAGGAAACAGCTTCTCTTTGATAGTCCTGCTTATCGTCTTCTAGTTTAAATAAAATAATCGACAAAGTGGTGCCAGAAGGAGCAAATGAACAGAGCTGCTTCACATCCAGTTTCGCACTTGCGCACTCACACACGCACGCACTCACAAACGAACCGTTTCTCACGACTGGTTTTAGAGGAAGCGAGGATGGTCTCGTAGCCATTTGCAACACGGACAGAAGCCAACTATATCGTTCCACCCTTCCCACGCGTTTAGATGACACGGTTGGCTTAGTGCCAGACAAGTCATAATTTACACTAGGTACTTCAACTCGTCCCTTACCCCCAGATGTGCCAGAGCTCGAAAGAGGTGAATAGTCCTAGCCACCGAACTTAATGGCCGTCCATTTTTTCGACCCACAAACCTGTGTCCCAGTACTTCAGATAATCCCGAGGCAAACAGTACCGTACTTCAGTCCATTTATGCAATTAAAACATCCCCATTTGAGGATTGTCCTGTAATATCCCAACAAGTAATGAATTTAACAAGCGCAGACGTGGTGTATTCCGATAATCCGTACACACTACTTCAAAATATCCACTTTCTTCACTCACTTATTTCAACTTGAACCTCAAGTTGTTCTAGTGGCAATATCGTGGTTAACGGAAGACAGGCCTGAGCCTAACTGATATATATATATATATATATATATATATATATATATATATATATATATATATATAGATGGCTACGAACCGATTCATTTTTGTGTTAATTAAGGAATGTCCGCGCCATCAATGTACAAAAAGGCCATAGGCACATCGGTGACAAATGTCCCATCGTAATTGCTTTGACGACTTCGTTTTACAAATATAGAACTCCATAAGCATATATTAGTTCTCGGAGGTGTATAAACGCACCCAAATTCCAGTGTTGCAGAAAGTAAGGACGATGTGCATTGCTCTGTTGAATAGTAGACCATCCGGCCAAGTACAAGATAACAGGTGGGCAATTCAACATTCTACGTATCACAGGGACCTCAATCCATGACATGCCAACTATATAAATGTGATCCATCTTCTACACACTTCCGGAATGATCTAGTATGTCAGATCTCCAACAGTGGGGAAGTAGATATTGAACCTGCTATTCATTATTAGCATGCCACAGCGTTCTGCTGCTGCTCTGGAACCATTTCCTGGTAGTTACCACAGTTTGCGAGCCTTT